CCTGGCATTCACCAAACCCAGACTTGTCCATCAGACTGACAGATAGAGAAGCTGATTCATCCACAGAATATGTTTCCACTGCTCCAGAGTTCAGTGGCAGCAAATCGTCACAGACTTGCCCTAAATTGTACTGAGTTGTTAAGTAATCTCAAATAGACTTGTTCATGTAGATTCTGACACTGGTATCTATAGGAAATTTTGTCTGTTACTTGTTAGCTACATTAGCCTCACAGCTTTGATGCAAAACAAACAATGTCTTGGCTGAACAACCACACTGATCAGTCGTGCTGTTTTACTGAACTATTCCCTCAGAATTACAAAAACATACATCAATCAGATGTGTCTAAACTTTGGAATGGTACTTATACACAAATCTTTAACTGGGCCCTAAAAAGAAGTTCATGATATATCCATTTGTTTTCCTTCACATTTATATTAGCGATGATGTGTGAAACATCCTATTGTAACGTTCAGCTCTAGACAGACAGCATGACAGGCAGTGCATTACCGAAAGTCTCTGAGAGCCAGATATCCAGTCAGAAGCACTGAGAGTGAGACCATTTGCCATGGGAGAGCGGCATCAAAGAGAAAACCTGCTCCGATCGAACCACAGGAGTTCCTCTCGTTCTTTGATTCCACTCAGAGGGGATGGGAGAGGCGCAGGCTTCCTCCAGGTGCCTCCACCGCCGCCGCCACGGTAATGAAGACGCTCGCCCGTCAGCCTCCCAGCAGGAGAGGGAGAAAGCGGCTGCCTGAGAAGATCAGGGCAGGGCCTCCCCCCACCCCCGCTGGCTTAGCGGAGACAACTTTCTGAGCAGACGGCCCCCTCTCCAGTCATAAAACCTCCACCTCTGACTCAGAGACGACTTAACGAAGGGTAATGCACGCGTGATGAAAGACTGGTGATGTCAAAAGGTTTTCTTTAGGACTAAACGGCTCCGCTTGGGCAAGCTTGGGAAAACCAGTTTCGAGGTCTGCCTAAACTCAGGGAAGCTGCCTATTACTGGAATTTGTTATTAAAGCAGCTATTATACTGCTGAGGTTAGTAGACTTACTTAAAGAAGCAAGAAGTCATTTAAAGTGGTCTGATGTGAAATGATTCACCGTAGAGAAACTAAGCAGCTCAGATTTATTTACATGATGGTAACAGGAACCAGAGGTCATGACGTCTACAGCACAAATATATAACATATTTTATTATCTATCCAAAACAACCAGTGAGCCTACACACAACAGTTTTTAAGGACTGTTTTGCCTTAGGACACCCTGCATTTACCTCTCTGCCATGAATGTATTAATATAATACATTTTGGGCCAAAATTTAATCACAAAACTATCATAAAACAGTGCCTTAGGCCTCACGGAGCTTTTATAGGCACTAAACTCTTCAGACGTCAATTCGTATTTGTTAAGTTGTACCAAATATAAAGGATGAAAGGTAAAGGCTATATCAGCCTCTCAAGCAGCTTTATAATATCTCACATCCCACAACTTTCAAAAAACTATGTCTCAGGCATCAGGCAGCATAATACCCTTATAATATATAATAATAATAATAATAATAATAAAAATTTGAATAATAGCAACCATTTCTAACAACAGCTTCTCGTGAGCGAGCTTTAAAGGCATTATACGGATCATGTTGGACGTCTGGTTCCCATCACCACTGTTGTGAAATGTTTGCATTCAAAGGCACAGTTTAGCCTCGCCCATTCACACTGAAGTTATAAAGAGTGTTTCAGCCCAGACTGCTTCCAGAACAAGGCACGCCAATGAGAACAGAGCTAATTTACATATGGACAATGATCATGCAAAAATGAATTATTAAAGCAGTAAGCCAGTCAAGACTGTGTGTTATTTTATCATGAGGAAGGGTGCTCATGAGCGAAGCGTAGTGGCTAAAACCTCTTCTGAGTGGCTTATTAAAGCAGCATTAGAGTCAAAGATTACTCCATTAACAGCACAAGGACTTTTCATGGTCGCAGTGATACAGAATGCAGATGTTTTGAGTCGGTCATGTGTATATTGTGTATTTTTACTACCCATTTTATAAGTATATAAAATGAGTAGATGTCAGGGAGAAGAAATAAAGAGAGAGAAAAATGTAGATTACAGATCTTTTAATATTTCCAGGGCAACTCCATCTAAATAAGACATAACGCTTAGAAGAAAATGTTTTTGGTTCCACTACCTCCTCCACACAATCTGATAACTCAAAGTCATCCAGAAAGAGCGAAAGGGCACAATCAGTCAGCAAGCCAAATGGAGCATCCAGGCCAATCACACTGCCCACAGCAGCCCCGTAAGACCTTCATTATTGGCTTCATTCACATGGAAATACTCCCACGGTAAAAAAAAAAAGCCCTATATGACACACAGGGGTTTGTTCGGCAAGTCTCTACAGCCTGGGAAACACATTCAGTCTAAACAGTGACAAACTGAATCGTGCAAACGAGGCCGCGGCGGCAGGCGAGACATGACAAACAGCGTCTCCGGCAGTAATCACTCCGCGTGTGCATGCAGGGAAGGACGGAATGACAAAGCGCGTTTTCTCCCTGTCCCCATTTCGAGGATGCTGCTGAAGCACACTTGCCAGATACAGACTTTGCAAGACAGCCATGCCTGGGAAGGATCATGCAGGCAAACACCCAGCCGCTGCCTGTTCAGACCAACGAAGAACACACGGTCAGCCCTGTCCAGCAGTGTTCCTTTCCATTAGCATTAAAGCTCAGACCTGTTAAAGATGAGTAGAAAGATAAGATGGAAAAACAGTGACGTTCTTGCTACCGAAACCTTTCACATAATTGGAATGAGGCAATGCAAAGTGCCCACTGTGTATGTAATGGTCCCTTAATGACTATTCCCTAAACTGGAAAACCAGGAACACTATTTAGAACACAATTACAAGTAAAAAAAAAAAACGGCACCTAATGAACATTATTATAGGGAACAAAATGGTCGCCTAATCACAAATTCTCTATTTTGGAGCACTACGTACACAACACTATTATGGGGAACAGAAATAGGCCCTAATTAATGTTCTCTAACTGGAACTCTATATGGAACATTATTGTGGGCAACAGAAATGGTCCTGTCATCACTATTCCCTATACTGGAAAATCAGGAGCACTATATAGAACACTATTGTAGGGAACAGACTTGGTCACCTTATTACGACTTCCTACACTGTAACCATGTTAATGCTGGCCTTCCTAATTTAATATATTTCGTTTGTGTTTGTTTTTTTTTAAGGCTGAAATTCCTTGAATCTTAAGTCGTAAATGACTGGCTTAAGTCTTAACCCTTTTTAGGCCCACAACGGGGAAATTTCACCTCCGCATTTTGACCCATCCATGCAGTGAAACATCACATACACACTAGTGAACATACACACTTGGGGGGCAGTGAGCACACTTGCTCGGAGCGGTGGGCAGCCCTACCCGAGGCCCACATTATGTAAGCCATTCAAACCATTTCATTCATTTTCCAGTTCATATTATACCTATAACCTGTTCAGGGTGTATCCTGCCTTCCGCCCAATGACCGCTGGGATAGGTTCCAGCTCCCCCCGCGACCCAGAAGGATAAGCGGCTTAGAAAATGTGTGTGTATTATACATATATGGACATTAGCAGGGCTCCAGACTACACTTTTTCAGAACCGTCCCAGAACTATCCTGGAAAATACCATCAGCTGTCCCAAAGTGAAAACTGTCGAAAAAATATTGAACTGTGTTCACAATCCTTTGATCTCTATTTGCATATATCCGCCTAGTCAGCCTACAGAAGTTTACGTCCACCCTTCATAATCTGAGTCCTGAGTAGCGTTCAGCACTCTGAATGAGGCACAATACAAAGCAACCAATCAAAACAGAGCTCATGTACACATATCATCAGTCTTAAAAGCACAGTTACAAAAAACAGCTTAATTATGGGGAAAGAGAGTGGTTGGAAAATGACTGTTACGACTGTTTTTGGTACATAAACACCATACAAATATTATAAATGGACCTCGAGGGAACAGATAAAAGGATATGGGCCCTAAAAAAGGATAAGTCGGGTTGCGAGTCAGTCAACATATGACTCCAGTATGAGTGGCTTCCTCAACTCCCCATCTCTGCTCTACAGTATATAAGGCATAGTTTCAGATATAGCTTTGCTCTTCACATATATCATTTCATACAGGCCTATTTTCACTCACATCACCTGTGGAAGATAAACACTGCAGGTTCCTCAATGCAGGACCGCTGCAGTAAGATGATTCGGCAAAGCATGAGGGAAATCAACAGCAAGATTACAAGACAAACATGCACAAAACATCAAAACAGCTATGATCAATGCCGTCAAACCAGCCAGACTGAAGCATTTCCTCCTTGTGCAAAATGAAACTTTTGCAAAGGAGGAAGATGATCTCAGATTTTTTTTTATATGTTCCCAGTCTGGCAGTCATCTTACCCCTACCTACATCATTCATTCTCACATACAAGGTAAATCAAAAGACATAAAAAGTAGGAACATTTGCTGTCGAGGTGCTGAACATGGCTGTTATCTCTTTTGTTTAGCCACTAAGGAAGCAGACGAACTACTGCCAAAAAAAACACGTTCCTAAATGAGGATATGGGCCTGGATCTGGCTCGTGGGAGTGTTTCTACAGAGGCCACTGACACACTGAGCAATCACTTCCTCTCATCCTTAACAGATGAAGTGGGGACAGCACTCACAGACACAGCACATACAGAAGAATGGCTGGTTTCACTGAAGTATTTCTTTCTAGTATAAGTAGGCATTTGAATCATGTCGAATCTATTAATATGAGGGGTATATTCTGGAGCATTGGCACGATGTTTACACAGAGAGACACACACACACACACACACACACACACACACACACACAGGCACACTGACAAACATTATCAGAGAGAAGGAAAGGACACAGTTACACAACCTTGTTTACTGTGCATTTCCTGTGGCCAAGCCTCAAGAGCATTGCTCTTACTCACATAAACACATCAAGATCCCAGAAGGGCCGAGAGATCCAAACAGACAACACACCGACGGGCCGGAGCAGTCAAGAAAAAACAAAAAAGGAGGAGAAGAAAGACGAAAACATCTCCGAAATGTCACTGCCTAGCTCCACGATGTTGATTCTCACTGTTGTGTAAGACCAGGTGGATGGAATGGAGGATGACTCAGTGGGAATGATTAACAGTCTGAGAGCTACATTGCGTCCCATCGACATGTGTAAATCTCTTCAGGAGGGCTGCACAGTATATTGTTTGTTAATCATTGTCACGGTACAGGCCTTTGCAGTATTCACGATCGTAGAATGCAGCAACATGCAAACGAGTCATCTGAGATGTGAAAAATCAAAGCATGCACGTGGGCCAACAAACATATTTAAATTTGGTCGAAATAATGATTAAACAAGCCTTAATCATATCATCTGGAGGTTCATCTGAGCTTTGGTTAAATATCTTATAATGTAATGACAAATGCAATACTGTGCAGATGAAAGAAATACAAAAACAGACAATTAAATGGGTGAAATATGGCAATTCATCATCAGCTAAAATTTCATGATTTTGACAGGACTAGATGTTGGGCCACCACGAGCTGCAGGGCTTCAGCCTGCGACTAAAATGGTGAGCGTAATTAATTTGCGAGTAATAAAATTAATGAACTTGCTAGTGGCAACAGGTAGCAAATTTAGATTATTATTATTTTTCATGCGTAACTATTTATTACTATTTTTCTGTGTTTGCTACTTTTTTGTTTTTATGTATTTTCTTCAATCATTTTGCATTTTAAAACATAACTGATAGGCAATAGCATCACATGGACGCGTCCGCCTATCAAAAAAACACCTCTGTGCTCGCGAAACGTGACAAACAAAGTGTATGAGCTGAGCCGAGCTGAGCTTTTTGCCATTAACGTAGGCGTGCAGAAAACGGCGAAGCAAAAAATATCAGATTTTTTCACACAATCTACATCTCTGTCAGACCTTAAGAGTCATCTGCTCCACCCTAGTCTGTCTCAGGACCAGTGAACCAGTGAAAGACTCACACGAAGATGTACCTGAACAGCCGTCCACCTCAAGCACTTCATGCAGAAGTACAACCACAGAAAGGCGTTTCGGAACTTCCTGGCTTCAGGAATTTGCGTGACTCAGATATGGTAACATAAAGCGGACTATTTTGCGAATCCTGTTCGAAAACAAGCCAAGATGTAGCTAGAAAACATATTTTATAACAGAAACAAATCATTTAAAGAAATAAATGATATGGTCTCCTGTTTAATTTCCATTGATTTTCATGGCTTATTAGTGTACTTTCCGATCATAATCAGATTTCTGCAGTTATCTGATTATTCAAATGGTCATGTAAACATCATATTCTGATCTAGAAAGCCGATTAAGAAATCTGATAAAGAGGCTGGATTTTAGCTCAGTAATCAGATTTCTCAGTGCACGTGAACTCTCACTCTGATTTCTATCAGATTTCTCAGTCTGCACATGAGCGAGATCGGACAGTGAATGCCGCGAGACGCAGCAAAACACTTTGAGAGGTGCTAAAACCAAATTTGAAATAAAGGAATTAAATATTTCTCATCTTCTGGATGATGTTTGTTCATATTTTCAGGTAAAACAGCGCGATGTTTAAAAAAAAAACAGTGCCATGAAGTTTAAGTTTTACATTATGGTTACGTCTCGTCTTCTTCTGTGAGTTTATTGGCTGGTTGCAAAGTAGAGATATGATTACTGTCTGACTCATGTAGACCCAGAGTTTCCCATTATCTGATTACTCAAGTGTGTGTAAACGTGTTGATCAGATTACTGACAAAACCAGATTTTCTGTAGTTATCACATAATTAAATGCATGTAAACACACTCACTGCTGCGCTTCAGTTTGGCATCTGGGACGCTCTGACCACTTAACATTGGCACCCAAATGAAAAGTAGGACTTTCCGCGTCCAGAAGCAGTATGTCTGAATCAGGCGTCTGCCCACACAGTGTCTCGTGCATGCAGAAAAATAGTTGAGAAAGAATTAAAATAAAATTAAATTCACAGCCTACATGATAACATATGAAGAACGACCTTTCACCAAATTCACCTCCCAAATCTTGTGAATGGAAAAACGGACTGGATGTGTCGAAGATGTATGATAATATGTATGTCAAGAATCAACTGACCTGAGGTGTGTTAAAGCTTTATTTACTGCATATTATTATTTGGCACTTAAAAAAAGCTGTTGGCGCCTGATTTTTTTCTTTTAGGACCCAGTGGCTCCTTACGCTAATTTCTTGTCTGGAGCCCTGGGCTTCCAAAACAGCTTCAGTGCACCTTGGCATACACTTTCTAAGTCTCTGCAACTGTACTGGACAGATGGAACACCATTCCTCCAAAAGATATTCCCTCAATTAGTGTTTTGATGATGGAGAGTGCTGTCCAAAATCACCCACAGGAGATCGGAGATCCGGTGACCGTGAAAGCCACAGCATATGATTTACTAAGCGTGTATTTAACGACACCCATACCCTCTGGATGGGGTAGGAAAGAAATGCCTCATTATAGGACATTGATCAATCAGAATAACTTTCTGAGGGACAGTCATGTAATGAGGTAATGAGTTCCATAGTTTAGGGGCCATGATGCTGAAAGATCTGCCTCTGACCATGGCCAGTCTAAATTTTGGGACAACTAGACGACCTGAGTCAGAGGACCTAAGTGTTCAGGCAGGGCAGTGAGGTGCAGGAGCTCGGCTAAGTAAGCTGGTGCTGGACCATGTAGAGATTTGGTCCAGCACCAGCTTACTTAGCAGGACGACTTTAAACTGGATACGAAGCGGGACGGGTAACCAGTGTAACTGATACAGAATTGGGGTGATGTGAGCTGATTTTTAGAGTGAGAGAGGATTCTAGCTGCTGAGTTTTATAAATACTGAAGAGGGCGGATAGTTTTGTAAGGAACACCAATAAAAAGGGAGTTGCAGTAGTCTAGGTGGGATGATATGAAAGCATGGACCAGAGATTCAGTGTCTTTCACGGAGAGCAGAGATGAAGGCAAGCAATATTGCAGAGATGGAAAAAAGTTGTTTTGACCAAAGTGTTGATATAAAGTTCGAAAGGAAGGACAGGGTCAAAAAGTACACCTAGGTTACGGACAACAGCTGCAGGTCTAACGGTCACCCCATCCAAATTAAGTGTGAAATTAGTACAATTTGCAGTAACAGACTTCAGTCCAGTGAGTAGAATTTCAGTTTTGTCCGTGTTTGATTTAAGAAAGTTATTCTGCTTCCGTTGTTTGAGGTCTTGAATACAAGATATTAGGGCAGGTTAGTGATGGTGTTGGTGTGGACGTAGATCTGTATATCATCAGCTTAACAATAAAAATTAAGACCATGATAGCGGACGATCTGACCGTGGGGTAAAATATAGATGATGAAGAGTAGGAGGCCAAGGACTGAACCCTGGGGGACACCTTGTGTAAAGGCACCGATAGCATAGTTATGCTTACCAAGGGCAACAAAGTGGAGTCTATTAGCGAGACAGGATCTGAACCAGGCGAGGGCAGTGTCAGTAATGCCAATAGCTGACAGACGGGAGATGAGTAAGTCATGAATAACAGTGTCAAACGCAGCGGTTAAATCTAAGAGAAGCAGAAGATATGCAGTGAACCTCCCCGTAAGGGGACATGTGGATGTAAGCCATGCCAGCAAAATGCCCCCCTATGCACAACAGAGCCAGCAGACCTCCTCATTGTAGAGGTGAAGCATTCAAGCCCATACTGTTCTCTTGGTGTGCGCCGCACATGCACTCTCCCACTTGTGGAGAACATGGTGAAGGATGACTAACCTAACTTCATCCCTTTTTTCCACATCTTTGTAGCACAGGGCCACCGCTGAACCCTCAAATGTGCATTCGTCTTTGTAATGAGGGGTTTATACAGTGCAATCCTACTATAATATCTATGTAGTTGTGGAAGGACTGTCCTTGCCGACACAGTCTGATCACGTCCTGAACTGACATTCTCAGTCACCTGAGGAACAGTTGCTCTTCTGTTTTTCCCCTCACATATTGCACCATTACATGAGCATGCTTTCGACCACATCCAGCGCTGTTTACTGACGTCTTTCCCATAGATCTAAATGCAGATGTCACTTTACTCACAGTTCCTATTGAAACATTAGCCAGCTGAGCAGACTTTGTGACTGAAGCTCCTGCCATCCATGCCCCAATAATAAACCCTCTTTCAAAGTCATTTAGATCTAAGATCAATGCATTTTTTTACATGCTACAGAGCATGGTAGGGTGTTAACTGCTGAATTGTCAAATGCAGTACATCTTTCTGGAAGCAGCTGCACTCCTCTCACTGATTCAAGGTTTAACTTTGTCACCTGTGCATATGTAGCTATTATTGTCCAGCCCTACACTGTTAGAAATAAAGGTTCTCTGCAGGCACAATTTTCATTCATCAAGATACAAACAATGTAAATGTTTCCTCAAAGGTACAACAGTGGGTTTAAGGTCCAGTTGTGCATCTTAAATAAGTTTTTGCCAGGTGAAAAGTTCATATTTGTACCTTTTCATAACCGAATGTTTTAAAATAGAACAGTAAAATAAAAGCCTGGAGACGAGACGGGGTGTGTGGAGTCAGTACAGCTTAGAACATATCATTTCAGTGGATTATGGTACAGTTATGTTCCCTGACTAAAGGTACTGAGGGCCCTGGCCCTTGAGGGGACCACCCCAGTGAGAAGAGGGATACTACCCTAGTCACAGTTTCATACCTTTTTTCTAAGAGTGTAGAGAATATTCAAGGAATATAATTGTTATATTCCTTAATTCCCACCTCTAAACAAACCCCTTTAATTGGTTGAATGATTAACAGTGGGATCCACTGAAATGGCAATTGTAGGCCAATGCTGATATCCAATATTTGAACGTACATATCTGATGATGATGATGACGACAGTGATGTTGATACATACATACATACAAGATTTGTAAAATGTATGAACTGGATTAAATCTACGGTGGCCGCCTAGACCCTGGGCACAGTACACTTATAAAAGTGTTGCAAACTCAGAAGCACTTTCATCAACATGACTACACCTGAACTACGTTTTACTCAGAAAACGCATGGGACTTCAGAAACGCTTCAAAGCCAGTCGCAACACAACATAAAAGTTTCCAGAAAACTCTCTAAGTGGAGGGAATATCTGTGATGGAAACTCACTGACAGAAGTTGTAAAACCACAGAGACTCACATTCCAGCACGTTCATGATTAACTCGGCCGGCTAGTTAGCAGGCTGACCTGTCATAGTTATACTACAGTTGGTGAGTTCAGACCCTGCCTTTAAGATGGCAGTGGTAGTATGAGGGAAGACTGATTGAGGGAGGGGGGGAGAACTTGGGCTG